TTCATTAAACTTGCAATTTAACAGTTTTCGAAGACTACCATATTTTGCATAAGCCATAACTATCATATATTCATTTTTTGTTGGATTTTTAGTGATTCCATATATAGCAATTGCATTTTTACCACGAAATTTAAGTTGATTTTTAATCTAAAGTATTTATTAGCATAAATAAAATATAATTATTATGAATTTAAAATAAACTAAATATGATGAAATTTAAATGACAAAATATTTACCTCTTGTAAAAATTCATTTTTATTTGCATAAATAAGACTTTTCAAGCAAACATCTTGTTCTCTGGACCTTTTCCAATTTTTTACTTCATAATTCCAAGAATAAATGGGTCCATCAAGCCATTTTGCTTTGTATACTGTGCTAAAACCCCCTTTAGCAAGGTATGTGACATTCTCAAGTATGTCAAATGAAATCCATTCAATAATTTTTTGATGTTTATTTGCATCTAATTGTATTTGTTGAATAAATTCATCAATTTCTCTATCTTCACTTGTCCATTTATCAAATTCATTTTGAAATTGTTTGAAATTACACGGATGGCACCAATTTCTTCTAACATTTCGATGACATTCTCTACATATCATAGAAAACCTAAAAATATTATTGATAATTAATTAAAAAATTGTTATTTGATATTGTATAAATTGATTTTATTAACTGACTGTAACACAATTATATTGATTAGTTTATAATTGATTAGAGAATTGTCATATGATATTGAATTAAATTGATTTCAATAATTATGAATCCAAATACTTACCAACTATAATATAATTTATATTGATTAGTTTATAATTGATTAGAGAATTGTTATAAGATATTGAGTTAAATTGATTTCAATAATTATGAATCTAAATACTTACGGACTGTAATATAATTTATATTGATTAGTTTATAATTGATTAGAGATTGTTATATGATATTGAATTAAATTGATTCAATAATTATGAATCTAAATACTCACCTCCTGTAATATAATTTACATTATTAGATTATAATTGATTAGAAAATTGTTATGATATTGAATTAAATTGATTTCAATAATTATGAATCTAAATACTCACCTCCTGAAATATAATTTATGTTGATTAGTTTATAATTGATTAGAGAATTTATATGATATTGAATTAAATTGATTTCAATAATTATGAATCTAAATACTCACTCTCTGTAATATAATTTATATTGATTAGTTTATAGTTGATTAGAGAATTGTTATATTATATTGAATTAAATTGATTTCAATAATTATGAATCTAAATACTCACTCACTGTAATATAATTTATATTGATTAATTTATAATTGATTGGAGAATTGTTATATGATATTGAATTAAATTGAAACATTGATTTTAATAATTATGAATCTAAATACTCACCGTCTATTTATATTAATTAGTTTATAATTGATTAGAGAATTGTTATATGATATTGAATTAAATTGATTTCATTAATTATGAATCTAAATACTCACCTCCTTTAATATAATTTATATTGATTAGTTTATAATTGATTAGAGAATTGTTATATGATATTGAATTAAATTAATTTCAATAATTATGAATCTAAATACTCACAATCTATTTATATTGATTAGAAATGTAATTTAATATATGTAATTTATTATTAGCAATAAATTTTGGTTTTGGATGTAACAATATACCTACTCTTCCGACCCTCCCGATTCCGTTTCTTTCATTTTTTCCCATGACTTCTTAAACTTCTTCATTTCTTCTCTTCAATTCTTTAAAATCTAAAAAAAGTATTGCCGACAGTCACACATTATCGGATTAAATAAATTCCGTTTGTCATACATTTGTACAAAATTAAAGAATATATATTTGAAAATGCTAGCAAATATTATATTTATTAATTTTATCTTTTTTTTTTGAACCATATATTTCATAATCCTTCAAATTCCCTAAGTGTTTCACTTCCTTTTATCATTTTATCGTTGCTGCTGTTGTTATTATATTAATATTACTAATATTAGATGCGAAATATAGAAAGGCCTGCGGACATCTATTCATTATTATCATTATTATTACAAGTGTGTTGTATTAGTGATATTATTATCATTAGAGATAATTTTATATTATTGGCTTTATAATTAATGTTGTTGTTGGTAGCGTTGTTTATGAAATAAAAGAAAACCTGTCAACTTTGAATTTTGTTTGAATTTACCATGATTAACTTTTTTTTTAATGAAAATTGAAAGAAAGAAAAAAAAAAGAATTTGAGAAAAGTGAGCTGTTTATATAGATAATTTTTTTTTAAGTCGCGATTTTTTCAAAAAGAACTTGCGAAATAAAATAAAAAAAATAATATGATATTTGCATAAAAAATATGCAAATAACAATATCAATAAATTTCATCACTTATAACATTCTTTTCGAATAATTTCTTATTTATTGATTAAATAGCTGTTTATGTTAAATATTTTCAAATCTCTTTTACAATTCTGACACTTGCTTAAAAATTTATATGCAAAAATGTCAAAACAATTGCCCAAAATTCTTGGAAGATTATTTACATTTGAGAAAAGGAAGAGGATAGTTGCCATCCTTCTCAACTCATTAAGCCTTTCAGCCAAAATTGGGAGGAGAGCAACTCATTGAACCTAAAATCCAGGAACTTAAGCAACAACAACAACCACCATCGCCTCTTACTAGATTTCTTTATTTATAATTATAATAATTTAAAAATCTATTAATTTCGGGCATTATTTTCTATTTATAATTTATTGTTTGAATCATTTGAATTATCATAATATAAAAAAAAATCGATTAATTTATTCATTTTAACAGTATATGAAATATACAATTTTGTGCGTTATTTGTTTTTAAAATCCAGTAATGGAAGAATATCGGCCTAACGACCTGCTACGGTAATAATAACGACGAGTGGTGAACGACCCGCTATTATAATAATAACCACGAGCGATTTGTTTGTTTATTTAATCGCTGCCAAATAACATAAAACTAACCACTTTTCTTTTTTATGCAATAATAATAATGAACGACTTGCTATGTTAATAATAACTATGAAATGATTTGCCTCTTTATTTGTTTGTTTGTTTAATTGCTGCCAAATAACGTAAAACTAATAACGTTTCTTTGTTCTAAATTATTAACAATAGATATTGGTTATTCTTTTAATATTTAAACATACCAAATTTCTTATCATACTTTTTTTCCCCTCTCCTTGTCTTAAGAAATAGAGAACAATTTTAAATATACCTTAAAGATTTTATAATACCGCTTTTTTTTTACATCAGGTTATATTTTTTGTAAATTATAAGTTATAGGATCGCATTAAATGATTAAATTAATTAAAATAATCAAAATAATCAAGGGCTAATTCTTTGTAAAGCAAGAAAATAAATAATCATTTATTAATTTAATATCAATTTTGGATTTTATGTATTAAAGTTATTAACGTGATATACAAAGTACTATACATAATATTTTTTGTGTTCTTGTTCTTGCGTAAATGAATTTCTATCTATGGTATTTTTGTAAGAGTATATCCCTTGGTTGCAAAACCTATTTAAATTCACGAAAATAAAAGTGTTTGTCAAAGAATTGAAATAATACAACCGGGTGTTGCCGATCCTTCCTAACTTTCAGGTCATTTCCTATGGCTTCAGTTCACATGCGACATACCTGAGTGAAAGCAGAGAAGCATCATTGTCGGCATTACCCTCCAAAGATTATGCAATGACCTAAGTGAATGAATTCACACATCAATAAACAATAATCCATCTTTTTTTCTAAAATTTTAAACAATTGATATACCTCAAAGATAATTATTATGTTAAAAATTTTAAAAACGAATGGTTAAAAATATGTTCTTAGTGATGAAGTCAAATCAATAAGAATTTGCATTTTCACTATATTACGAATATCATCAATGGAGAAGATGAAGCGCCAAAAATTAAATCCAGCGGTATTTGGGAACACCTTGAATAACTGATGATCCAAAAATAGAAAAATTGTTAAAAAAAAATACAACAAATATATGTATATATGTTTTTAATTATGGTATTTTTCGTTGTATCAATCCGATTCATTCCACTCTATAACCATTAACATTGGATCGAGATAGTAGTATTAATCGGGTTCGATAAACTTTTCTCTTTGATCTCATGATGCTTTTTTGGGTTCCTTCCGTAAATTTTTTCAATGATTCCGACACTTATTTTTTTCAAAAATATATACGGGATTAAGGATGGTACTAGCTTGTTTCATGGTTAAAAGTGAACAGATATACAAATGTTGATTTTATCTTATATGGTTATAATATGATGACGACAATTTGTTTGTTTGTTAAGTTGACGATCTAATTCTAGGTTTCACCTAGATGTCTATTGTAATACAGATCTCGTGAAATTAGCAGAAATTATAAAAAGTAATTCTTTTTTTTTTTACAACCCTAAATTATTAGTTATTTAATTATTTAATAATAAATAAAAAATGAGTAAAGTATTAAAATTTTCTGGACATAATTATTTTCGACAACGATTAATTCTTTCAATATTAAGTGGGAAAACCATCAAAATTAATAAAATTCGTTCAGACGACAATAATCCCGGGTTACAAGGTTTATATATAATTTTTAATTCTATTATTATTATATATAATTGTTATTATGGAGATTTTTATTTATTGAATAATTTTAAATCAATTATATAATAAAAAATTTAGATTTTGAAATTAGTTTTTTAAGGTTATTGGATAAAGTAACAAATGGTTCAACTCTGGAAATTAATTATACAGGTTGGTTTGGTTATTTTTTTCGATAGTGATTTTTTTTTTAAAAGAAAAGAAAATGTGATAACAATGATAACTATTTAATTTGTTTTTTTTTTTTTAAAAAAAAAAGGCACAAGTGTTTTATATAAACCCGGAGTAATCACCGGAGGAAAAATTAATCATGATTGTGGTATTTCTCGAGCAATTGGATATTTTTTAGAACCATTAATCGCTTTAGCACCATTTGCGAAGAATCCATTTAATTTAACTTTAACTGGAATTACCAATGATAATATTGATATTTCGGTTTGTCTTTTTTTTTTGGATTTCTCATCATTGTTTTTTCTAATTTAATCTATTTCTAATAATATTGATTTTTTAATTCTTATATTTCATAGGTTGATACCATAAGAACCGTGACTTTGTTACAACTTGGAAGATTTGTTACAGAAGAAGGACTAGAATTAAAGGTTTAATTCAATAATAATAATAATAATAAAATAATAATAGTAGTAATAATAATATATATATATCTATCCATATCTATCTATCTATAATTGATGAAATTTTAATTTCTTATTTCTTATTCTTTCTTGAAAAATGTAGATTTCTAAACGAGGATCCGCTCCACTTGGCGGAGGTGAAGTTACTTTTAAATGTCCAGTCGTGAAGTCATTAAAACCAATACAATACATAGATGAAGGTCGAATAAAACGTATTCGTGGTATTGCGTAATGTATTCTTTATTCCCAAATATTTTTATATTTATATTTATCTATGTATTTATGTATATATATATATATTTATATTTATTTATTTATTTAATATGTTTTTAGATGTTGTACAAGGGTTTCACCTCAAAATGCAAATCGAATGGTAAATTCAGCAAGATCAATATTGAATAGATATATTCCTGATGTTTACATATATACCGATGTTTACAAGGGTGAAGAATCTGGAAAGTGAGTTATATATATTAATGATATTATTATTATTAATTTTTTTAGTAGTAATATGTGATTGATTAATTGGTTATTATTTATTACAGATCACCAGGATTTGCAATTTCTTTAGTAGCCGAATCCACAACGGGAGTTCTTATTTCAGCGGAACAAGCTGCGAAATCAGGAGAAACCCCGGAAGATATCGGTCAAAGAACCGCAAAAATTTTACTTACGGAAATACGAAAAGGCGGATGTATTGATTCTTTAAATCAATGGTTAATTTTATTAATGATGGTATTGAGTACTGAAGATGTATCAAAAATCAGATTAGGACAATTGACAGCTTTTACGTAGGTTTTGAATTTGAATTTTTTTTTTTTTTTAATTAATTATTTTTAATCGAAATTAAAAAGATTTTAATTTAATTTAATTTTTTTTTCTTTCAAGAATACAATATATACGAGATCTTAAAAATTTCTTTGATGTCACATTCAAAATCAAACCTGATCCCACAACCAACACATTATTAATGGCTTGTGTTGGCGTTGGATACATTAATTATAGCAAGAAAAGTACTTAATAAATGTAAATAAAATAAAATAATAATAATAATAATAATAAAAAATTCAACTTTACTATCCGAGAAGAATTTTATTTCATTTAAAGAGAGAATTAATTAATTTATTTTTATTTTATTTTTTAATGATCATACAAATTATTAAATTATTTAATAATTTGAACTTTTATTATTGATCTACAACTTGAGTTTGAAGACCTATAAAATATAGGGATTAAAAAGATTATTTTAATCATCATGATATAATCATATTCATATATATATATATTCATAACAATTTTACCTTTAAGTGAAGGTACTTGAACATAAGAAACATAAGTGTACAACTTTTCTTTTGCATCATCTTCGTCATTTCTACGACGAGCGAGACGAAGACGCATACGATGTGGTACATTCTTAATTCCTTGTTTCCAGATCTCTTTATTTAATAAAGGATCGAGACGAACATCTTTGGTACCCATATGTTTCTCGGTAAATTCTTTAATCGATTTTACGGCATGTGGTGCTCGCTTTTTGAAACTCCTGTTTTTTTTTTAGATATTTTTAATTATTATTATTATTATCAAACTATTGTAAAATTGATATGATACACACACATATATATACATGTGTGTCAATATAAGAAGTTATTACGATCTTTATAAGATCCATTAGACAAAGAATTGTCAATTTTACCTGCCAAAAACTCTTTTGTGCAAATGAATTGTATAGTCTCTGGTTACGACATCAGAGATAGCACTACGTGCAGCTTTTTTTTCTTTGGCCATTTCTATAAATGAATTATTGACGAATTAATAAATGAACAAATGAACAAATGAATAAATGAATGGATAAGACAAAAAAAAAATAACTTTACCACCACTTATTATTATTATTAAGAGATGAAATCTTTGGTCAATGCAATATCAAATTTTGAAAAAAAAAAAATTGATTTTTTAACAAACATTTTTAGGTAGCCAATAACCTGGCTCCGGGATTCAAATATATATATTTTTTTATCGATCCAATGAAAATAAATAAAAATAAATATTTTTGATCAAAAATTTTTTTTTTGTTTGAAAGATGTTAACAGAACTTGTATTAACTTCTTCTTCTACTGAACCAATTATACATGTTTGGGATTTTAGAACAGGAACATTAGTTACAACTTTTAAACAAAATGTTTGTAATAAACATGGATTAGCTTTAATTCCATTCCCCGGACAACCTGATAGAGTGGGTTTAATAATAGCTTCACAAGTGAATAAAGCTTTATTACACGTTTATTCTTGGCAAAAAGTAATTTAATTAATTAATATTTTATTTGAATATTTTATTTATTTGATGAATTGATTTATTAATTGATTAATTGATTTATTAATTTGTTAATTGATGATATTTCACTTTTTTTTTTTGTTTTAGGATCAAATTCATCTTAAAATAATATGTCCCGAGAAACTTAATTCTTTGGCTGTAACGAATCAAGGATCACATTGTGCAGGTGGAACAGATAATGGAAAAATATATGTTTGGGAGGTAAATAAAATAAATAAAAAGTTTGAAATTAGATAATAATAAATTAAAAGAAATAAAAATAATAATAATAAAAATAAATTTATTTATTTTTAAAATTAAAATTATAATTAATTAAAAAAGCTTTCAACTGGAAGATTATGTCGCGTATTTGATGCTCATTATAAAAAAATCAATGTTCTCAAATTTACATATGATGATACGGCATTAATTTCAGGAAGTGAGGATGCAGGATTGAATGTTTGGTTAATGAGCAGGCAAGGTTTGATTTTTTTTTTTTTAAATCAATTATAAATATTTTAATTTTAACGTGAAATGATATGAAATGATAATCTTTAAAATTAATTTAATTTAATTTAATTTAAAATTAATTTAATTTAATTTAATTAGTGTGTTAGATGAAGAAGAATCAGAAACCTTATCACCATATTATTCATTACCAGATCATTCCTTACCTATTACAGATATAATATGTGGTATTGGAAGTTTTAATAAAGCAAGAATATTAAGTTCATCTTTAGATCATACTTGTAAAGTAAGTAAGTAAATTTAATATTTTTATATGATTAATTAAACTAATTATTAATTAATTAATTAAAAATATTAATAACAATCATTTATATAATAATAAATAGTTATGGGATTTATCAACCGGATATCTTTTAACTACGTTTGTATTTCCGACTGTTATCACCGCTATTACAATTGATCCAGCAGAAAGAATATTATTTGCTGGTGGTAAAGATAATTTAATTTATCAAGTAAATTTATATCGTCGAAAATTTGAAAATAAAATGGAAATAACTTCAATTGGAGGTGATGGGATTATGGAAGATATCATATCTTCACATAATGGTAATCATAATAATAATAATCATAATAATGGTTTAACTTTCCGAGGGCATACGTAAGATTTGAATTCATAATATATTCTTAGTGTTATTTAAAAAAAATATTATTTAAAAAATTTAATTATATTTTTATATTTTATATTTTTTATTTTTTTTTTTAGTTCGCCTATTACAATGATTTCACTCTCATATGACGCCACTCTACTTTTGTCAGGGTCACAAGATGGTAATGTAAGAGTATGGGATATTGATAGTAGACAAATGATAAAAAGCTTTAATCATCATAAAGGTATTTAAATTTACATTTATATATACTGTATATTAATATTTAAATAAATAAATAAATAAATATATATATATATTTTATATATATTTTATATGTATATTAAATCATTTATTCTTTAAACCTTATCGTTAATGATGATAATAATTTTTAAAATTACATTTCTGAAGGTCCGATAACAAGTTTACGTACATTCTTGAAACCGCCAGATCTTTTTAAAATTGGATTATCAATGAATAAATCAATTATACAACCAATACAACCTTTTAAAAGAATACAACAACGACGAAAATTAATGCAAAGTGATGATTCTGAAGAATTCGTAACTTTAATTTTGAATGATAATATTGATGTAATTTTTATCCAATATTTATTACATTTCATTCACAATTTATTAGCAATTTGTTCCTGATTAAATATTGTTTCTCTTTAGAATGTTTTTGATGTAACTAGATATGATGGATATGATGGTCAAGGTAAAATTCTGATGTTTTGATCCTAAATTTGTTTATTATTATTAAAATAATAACAAATTGTTATTATTATTTTATTAATAGGTATAAATGGTATAAATTCGCCGGAATTTCATGATTTGGTTAAAGAAAGAAAGAACCAAAGACAATTTCGCGTATGTTCCAATTTCTTAATTTTATTTTCTACAAAGATGATTTCTAATATTTGATTACATTTGATTAACATTTGATTAAATATTTGATTATTAATATTTGATTAATATTTTAGACTGGTGATGAAACTAACAAATTACAAATTCAAGTATCAGAATTACAATCCGAACTTCTTCGTATTCATGGTCATTATCAACGTGTTAAAGGTTTACATGATGAAATGTATCAAGAATTGGTTTCGGATTTTATGTCAAAGAGAAGAGAAAGAAATTAACTAAAAATTATAAATATAATTTATTATTGTTAATTAGTAATTACGATCACTCTGAACGATAATATAATATAAAAATAATTATTTTCTATGTATAGTACTATAGTAAATTTTTTATGAGATTTAGATTAGGTATAAAAAACAAATAAATAAATGAATCCATTTTTGATAAAATTATTATTATAAGATCTGCTGACATTTTTCTTGAACTGGTGATTTTGTAATTTATTTTTAGCAACTTTAGCGCAAGGGATGAATATGATTATAGTACAAGGGTACAAGGTGTAAAAATCAAAAAAAAAAAATTCCGATTTTTGAACTTGTAGTTAATTCATTTTTTTTTTCAACTATGGCCGAAAATACTCCTGATAGGCAAGCTTACTTAATTTTTTTGGTTTTCAGTAATTGAACATAAATGATATAAATGACAAATGGTTCAAAATTTTTAAAGCCTTTAAATATATGTATTTTATTTTTCATTCATTCTTTCAAGTGATTCCGAAAATTTCGAAACTAAAACCATTACTCTCCGTACAGGTAATAATAATAATTTTGTATCATTTAATTTCGATTTTTGTTTAAAAATAATAATAATATTATTATTGTTGTGTTGTATTAAACTTACAAAAACATTTTTATTCTTTTTATCATTCACTACATATTATCATTCTTTATTTCTCACTTAATTCTCACTCAAGCTGGTTTTGATGCTCGCTTTCCAAATACTAATCAAACAAAACATTGTTGGCAGAATTATGTAGATTATCATAAATGTATTAGATCTCGTGGTGAAGATTTTCCTCCTTGTAAGCAATTCTTTAGAGCTTTCAATAGTTTGTGTCCTAATGATTTTGTAAGTTGAAATTAATAATTTAATTTAATTATATTTATGTATTTTATGAGAGTATATCTTTGAGTTCAATATATTATTATATTTTATTTATATTAATAAATATATATATTTTTTTTTTCAATTACTTTATACATATATATAGATTTCGAAATGGGACACCCAAAGAGACGAGGGAAATTTTCCGGTTAATTTAAATTCTTAAGCATAAATTTAATGCTTGAGATTATATTAGATAAATAAATAATAGTCTAATAAATAATCTGAATAATAAATAATCTTTGTGATTGTAGAATTTATATAAGATTTTAAATAATAGCATAGATTTATTTATTATTACTTATTAATTCTGACTTATTTTAAAGTATAAGGTTTATTTTTTTCCATTCTTAATGATGATAAAGCTCTAAATACAATGAGAAAAATAATAAAAAGTGCTTAATATATCTGATGTAAATGTTACATCAATCTAGTTAACACTTACATGCCTTCAGGAGACAATATTCCGATAATACCGTATCGAAATCTATCTGCTACATTAATGCAACCAATTTCCTACTAAAAATAATTAGTAAATTGTGAGATACAGGAATAAAGAAAATAATATTTGACATAAAACATACTTTAATTGTTAGTTAAATCAATTTAATTTCTTCGTGATCTTCACTATTGCATATTTTCTGAATTTTTACCCTAAATAGAAAATATTCATGAATTTTTAACTTTTACCACCTAAATTTTTTTTACCTTTTAATAATCATTTTTTTTTTAGAATCAAATTCATTTTTTCGTTTACAATGACGATTAATTGATATGTTTTACTTTTGGTTGATGCTTCATGCGCATTGGCATATTGAGCAAGCTTTTCACAGAAAAAAGTGTTAGAATCAGCAAATATAATCCAGGTCCCTTATAAATGACCAACTCCAACTTCTTACTGCTTTCCGCCCTAATGAGGCGGTCCGAACTGCGTTTCCCTCTTCTAATTTTCGGACTTCCTTCCAAAAACTTATCACATCTACTGTTTTTTTTTCCACTTTAAAAGGAAGATAAGTATCAGTATCTTTAAATATCGTAGTGCAATATGCTGTGGCTTAAAACCAGAAGATGCACTTTGCTTAAATAATGTTAGAATGCCAACCCACCAAGAAAAAAAAATTACTTAATCTTAAACGCGTTCTTAAAACTATATAGGTTAGCTACGTAGCCATCATGTTCGAGTTGAATTTCTTTCGTGAACTAAGCTTGCCCTTTTCGCTGTATTAGGAATTCGTAAAGATAATTGTCACACTCGTTCCTAATAAGTATGGCTTTGATAACCATTTCTCTTTCTCTCTTCGCGCTTTGATCATAACGGTACGCGATAGTAAAAAATCCATCACCATTAGATTATCAAAGAATTATTTTTTTTTAAAAAAAATACCGAATTATAAATTATGAAATAAATAGGCAATAGATTAAATAAATTTCTTTAATTATTAATTATTTGAATGATAACGAAAGATTAGACTGTAATTTTTCATTCAAGCGAATATTTGAATTATTTATAGATAACGCCCATAAGGATATAAAGATATTATTTTTTTTTTTTTTGGTGTGAGTGCATATATCGTTACATTATTATTATTTATAAGTCTAGATGTAAAATTATAAAACAGGAATGTGGTGATATTATACGATAACTGATAATAGAGAAATAATAGTTTATTACTGTATTTAAGCGAATATTTATTCATCATAAAAGAAATATTAAAAATGTGGCGTCCGCAAAGAAAAAAAAAGGTTTAACGTAAGGGAATATTTAAAAGATAAAATAATTAATCTTCTATAATGTAAAAATAAGTAATAAACAAATAAGTATAATTCTTTTAATATGTTATTTCTATTTTCTTACAATTATAATCATCATCATAGTAAAAATGTGATTCAACAAATCATAGCTTTCAAGAAGAAAATTACTCTCTATTCATAAAATTCAAGTAAAAGTATAAACTTGCAGGCCTGAGCTAAGCTTAAAAAAATCATGTACTTGTTACAATTTGGAATCAAATATATTATAGTTTCTTATACCGTGAACATTTTAAATTTTCAATTTAGATACATATTATTGAAAACAAAAATAAAAATTTTAATAATTTAATAATTCTTTACAATTGTAAATTTATATAAACAAGTGTGTAATTCTTATAAAAGGATGAAAAAGGAGATGCATTCCTCTCGAAAATAAAAAATTGTAAATGTGTATATAATTTTAAACCGAAGTATTTATAGGAGGAAAATTTGATTTTAATAAATAAATATTGTCTCATTTAAGAATTCTAAAATTTTAATGAAAACTATCCTAATACTGTATCTATTTCAATTATCCTGTTTTACCTGTCCTGTAAGCCTTACTCCTTAAACGAACCACTTCTAGGAGATTCTTTAACATCAAAACATAGATGAGAGCAGTATTGTACATTTTACATGTCCAAGGTTTTTTTTTAACTGTCAAAGGTCCGCGTACGCGCCGTCCGTAGCTTTAATTAACTTATAAATATATATTAAAACTTTACACATATATGAAAAAGTTGAGCATTAACAACTTTAATTAATAGCTTAAAGTAAAATTTTTTAATAAAATTTTGCGTTATTTATGTTTTAAAAAAAAGAAATTTTTGTCCAAACACTGTCCAACGGGTCCATGTACAATACTGGATGAGTTAAAATCATGTTAACTTCATCTTCTATATACAAATACAGATTGAGTAGTGACAATAAAATGATTCAAGTTCATAGTTCATCATACCTTTTAATGTTTTTAAATGTTCCAGTATTTCGCAGAAGATAAACATTTTCAAGATTGAAAGTTTTTTTTTTAAAAAAAGAATAAGAACAATTAAAGAATAAGGAATGCTATAAAAATAAATTTGTTTATATTGTTATTTACATATTTTTTATGTAAATATCATATTTATTTATTTTTTTTTATTTTTTTTATTTTCATTTCGCAAATTCTTTTAAATTTTCGCGTTACATTTTGGTCTATCTTGTCTTGTTAAATTCGCGAATAAAAAAAAAACCCCAAAAATTTATCTATATAAACAGCCCATTTTTCTCAAAATTCTTTTTTTTTTTCTTTCAATTTTCATCAAAAAAAAGTTAATCATGGCAAATTCAAACGGAATTCAAGGTTGACAGACTTTCCTTTATTTTATTTCATCAAAATCAACAACGTTAATAATATCACTAATAATAAAACTTGTAATAATAATAATATCGAAATAGAAGGCTGACAGGCCTTTCTATATTTCGTGTCTAATATCAATAACACAAATATTAGCAATAGCAATGATAATGTTAAAATTAATATTATTAATAAGAACAGCAGCAAACAATAACAAGAATAATCCTGGGGCATTTAAAGGATTATGAAGTATATGGTTCAAAAAAAAGAAGACAAAATCAATACGTATGATAATATTAATGTAACAGAATTTTTAAATATTTATTCTTTTCTTTGATAGAAAAAAAATAATATAAATAATTTTAATAATAATTATTATAATGATACAACAATTTTCTAACCAATTATAAACTGATCAATATAAATTATATTACAGGAGGTGAGTATTTAGATTCATAATTATTGAAATCAATGTTTCAATTTAATTCAATATAATATAACAATTCTCTAATCAATTATAAACTAATCAATATAAATTATATTACAGTTCGTGAGTATTTAGATTCATAATTATTGAAATTAATTTAATTCAATATCAAATAACAATTCTTTAATTAATTATCAATAATATTTTTAGGTTTTCTATGATATGTAGAGAATGTCATCAAAATATTAGAAGAAATTGGTGCCATCCATGTAATGTCAAACAATTCCAAAATGAATTTAATAAATGGACAAGTGAAGATAGAGAAATTGATGAATTTATTCAACAAATACAATTAAATGCAAATAAAAATCAAAAAATTATTGAATGGATTCCATTTGATATATTTGAGGATGTCACATACCTTGCTAAAGGGATTTTAGCACAGTATACAAAGCAAAATGGCTTGATGGACCCATTTATTCTTGGAATTATGAAGCAAAAAATTGGAAAAGGTCTGGAGAATAAGATGTTTGCTTGAAAAGTCTTGATTATGCAAATAAAAATGAATTTTTGCAAGAGATAAATATTTTGTCATTTAAATTTCATCATATTTAGTTTATTTTAAATACATAATAATTATATTTTATTTATGCTAATAAATACTTTAGATTAAAAATCAACTTAAATTTCGTGGTAAAAATGACAATTGCTATATATGGAATCAACAAAATGAATATATGATAGTTATGGCTTATGCAAAATATGGTAGTCTTCGAAAACTGTTAAATTGCAAGTTTAATGAATTAACTTGGAATAATAAAATTTCTATTTTATCAACAATTATAAAGGGGCTTGCAAGTATCCATAAAAAGGGCTTAGTGCATAAAGATTTTCATTCTGGTAATATAGTTAATCAAACTTTAACTTTGTGTTATATTACTGATTTTGGACTGTGCAAACCAGTTACAGAGAATGATACAGAAAAAATTTATGGTGTAATTCCATATATGGCACCTGAGACATTAAATAGAGGAGAATATACTCAAGCATCTGACATTTATTCTTTTGGTATGGTTATGTTAGAAGTTCTAACTAGTTATCCACCATATTATAATATTCCACATAATGAAAATCTTGCAATATGCATTTGTGAAGGGCTTAAATCTGAAATTAAGTGTGGAATTCCTCAATCTCTCAAAGAAATAATGGAAGAATGCTGGAATTTTGAACCTCTCAATTATCCAACTGCTGAAGAATTGAAATTTCAACTTGATAAATATTGTTCTACTCTACATGATAATATTGAATGGAAAAGATAAATTGAAGCAGCAAATGAATTAAACGAGAATTTTATTCAATATGATCCAAATCAAATGCATTCTGAAGCAATATATACAAGTAGACTCATATCTAAACTTACAATACATGAATATGATACATTTAGTAAGTACAAATAAATAAATATCTATATTTTTTTGAAGAACAATTTATATTGATTATTTATTTAGATTCAAGACAGCAATTTTTTTCAATTCCTGATAATATAATTGGTAAATTTATTTCTTTAAATTTATTTTTGACATATTTAGTTTATTAACTATATTTAAATTTGTATAGTTGAAGCTGAAGAAAATGAAACTCAATAAATGGAATGTAAATTTCATTCACTGGAAATTAATTGAATGATTGGTTCAGAATTAAATATTTCTCTTTTAGATTTAAATATACTTATATTTATTTATTATTTTATTTATTCATTTATTTTATTATATTTTTTATTATTTATTTGATCACTGGAATCATAGAGTATAGTTTTTTTTTAAATTAAGCAGACTAGTATGCAATCATTTAAAATAAATCTTTATTGTCTTTTCATCTAAATATTTGTAATTATTTATTATTTGCATTTATACATATGAGTTAACTTTTCTTTTATAACTGATGCATAAATGAACATGACAATTAATTGAAAATCAAGTGCTATTTATTATATCTTATCTATATAAAACTCAAAAATAACAATGTGCTGTACTTATTGCTATCAAAACACATTTGTTTTTTAGAACAAAAATTAGTAAATTTTTATGGTATGGTAATATGTATTTGTATTTATAATATCTTTTATGATCATCAATTGTAATTATCTCTTATAATTATCTTATAATTATGAAGTAATATCTTTATAAATAAATATTGACTAATCATAAAACAAAGAATAATACGTTAGCAATTTTATAATGTTCGCTGAGTCTTGGATTGATGAAATCTTTAATATTGGGCATTTATTTATATTTCAATATATACAGTATATAGAATCAATCATTTAATAGAATTCATTTTTTATTAATCTATAAATTTATTCTTCTCACTCATTATATATACAGTATTAAAAAATGAATTTTATCATTGCACCAAGTTACTTGTTATAATATTACATTCAATTATTTATTTTTTTATTCTTTTTTTTAGAAATAATATCACTGTCTAAATCTTTCTACTGCTTCTACTACTACTTATAGTTCCGCTAGTCCTACTCATATTCGTTTACATCCAGTTCAACTTCTTCAACTTACTTTGTTTCTTCTACTCTTCTCTTGTTTTTATAACAAATAATATAAACAATAAACAATGTCATAATTTATTAGATTTATAATATTTAATAACAAATTATTATTATTATTTTTAAATATAATATCTTATATTTTATTACTTCAATAAGTCTAAAAAACGAAAGGCCACTTCTAACTCTTTACCATCACCAAAAATGAAAAGGTTTGCAAGACTAATGAACACTGGTTGAGATAATTAATTAAAAGAAGTCAAAATTACAAGTTCGAAGTAAACCTTTAAATTCTATGATTGGTGAATTTTTTTCTTTCACTTATATGATATGTTATATTCATTATTTCATTATACATATTTGCCATTAATAATAAATTCATATATTTATAAATATTTCTTTTTAGATTTATTGTTTCGCTTTGAACATACATACAAAAAGAAAAGTGCAAAATTTTTTTTATTTAATATAAAACCACTCGTGTGTCCAAAGAAATTCCTACTTAATGATATTTTGAAGTTCGAGAATATAATTAACAAATTTTAAATAGTGTATACCAATCTTGTTATTTACTAGATCGACATAAAAAATTTATTTTTAATATATTTATATTATATTATATTTGAAATAAAATTTATTAAAGAAAGAATAATAATCATACAATAAATTATAATTAATATAAAATGAAATAAATTTTTGTGACCCAAAAATGACATGAAAACTAACAATGCAATGCAATGACAGCTATCATTTTTTCAATTTGTAAGTTTTAGGATTTAAATTTTTATAATAGATTCAATTTATTCTTGTCTTTAAGTTTACTTAGTATCATTTTTGAGATTTAATTAATTAAAAGATTTATATTTAATTAAAAACATTAATATTTTTAATTTTATGAATAATTATATTATGACAATTTATTGAATCACTTTACATTCCAGATGCAGACTTTGCTGAACACGCTAGTCAAATACAAAAGAATCGGTGTACTGAAAGGTGATTCATATATTAAAAATCGGAATTCCTATGTAATAAACCAGCTAAAAATCGACCATCCTATTGCATCCTATATTATAAATCAGCTAAAATCGGAATTCCTTGCCAATTAAAAAATTTAGAAAAAATCAAATTGCAAGAGGACCAGTCAAAGAGAAACCCAGATGATTTCTCTTTTCAGACATCCCAATGGACTTAATATCATTGTCTTTGTTCACTTTTATACAATCAATAGCTAAAAATAAAGGTACAACAATGGCTAATACAGAACACTATGAAGAAATTTAAATTATTTATACATAAAAATGTCCGGGTGCATAGATGCAATGTGATCAAAGATGGGAATTAAGTAATGGGATTAGAAACAGAAGGAAAAAGAAAGTTTTGGTAATATCTAGTGCTCCTAACAAGTTGACTCCCAAATCAGAATTTCATATGAAATTTAATATATGGGTTACAACCCATTATGTTTTTTTAATAGTATGTAAGCCAATTTGTGAGTCAATGAGTCAATCCATTCAGAGCTCTAATACTGAAGGCAAATTTACTTGTCAGGCAGTAGGTTACAAGTATGTCTCATATGAGTTGGTCTGAGTCTCATCTTTTCAATAATTATTAGAATAAGTTATATATTTTATATTATGTAAAAGTAATTACAGGTCAAACACAAAAGAATAGGTGACACAAAAGAAATTCTGATCTTAGCTGATTTATAATATAAGATACAATAGGACTGTTGATTTAGCTGGTCTATGATATAGGCTTTCTGATTTTTAGCTGATCTATATTGTAGGAATTACCATTTGGTACAACAATTCTTTTGTTTTTGACTAGTGAATGTGAGAGACTTTATCTTTTTTATAATTAATAAATTTGAGATAAGGCCTTGCTGGAATATAAAAAAAATATTAACATCTTTATATACAATTATATTATAGTATAATTACAGTATTGTACCCAGTGTTGAAGATTATGATAAATGATTGTAACTAGTCATAAGTAATGATAATGTCCTTAATTATTTTTACAAGTTCTTAATATTGCAGATTTTTTAGATAGAATGAGTCACAATTCCACAATTAATTGCAAACTTTTGTGTAATAATAAAGTAGATATTTGGATTTTCCACATTTTTGGCATCAAAATGATATCTTTTTTATTCTAATCAGATAATTTTTGGTCAAAATATCATAAATAAAATTTATCAATTGAAAATCAAATTTAAAAATAATTATCAGTTGTTGCTGTTACATATAAAACTTTTAATTTTAATAAGTAATATCAAAAGCATTAATAATCAGACTTAAAGTTAAGAATAATTTGCATTTTGTGTAAAAGTTTCAGACCTTAATCTTTAAAATTAAGGTGATTATAGACGTTTAAGTTTAATGTTTAAAAATTTAATAATGAAGTTTTAAGCAATTACCAATTTTTAAAATGATGACATAATTATATACATTGTGGATTTGCAAACTTTACAGATAATTACAAACTTGTAGAATTGAGAATTTTTAATTATTAAAATCTGCATAACTGATAATTGTTATAATATGCAATTCAGGTAAGTAGCTAGTTAGTATTAGTACTATAATGCTATTATGATTCCATCATAAAGTATCATAGTTCAACTAATAAATTATGACTACAATGTTTAAAAAAATAATAACAACTAGTTATAAGTTAAATAATTTAAAAATAAAATAAATATGAAAAAAGGTTTCCTAACATTATACACAGATTCATAAAACTGTAGCCTTTTTTTTTGCACTAATATTTATCAAGTTGTTATTACCCAAAGTGAATTAAAAAAATAAATAAATTTAGTTTTGCACAATTTTTACTAAAACATTTTTAAATACCATTTGAAAGCTCTCATTTCATGCTTTACAACAGTGATTAAATAATTCTAGCATTGATCCCCTATAAAATTTCCTAATGTAAGCACTTCGTCGCCATATGATTTGCACGAGTTTGTCGGAAAAATGCTAAATTTGCAGGTTAAAAAATAGTATTGATTCTTTATTATTAATTCATTAATTTTCTACGGTTCGCAAAAAATTATATCGATCTGATAATATAATACTTTGACGAATTTGTAATTTAATGTTATTCAGATAACGCTCACGTTTTTCTTTACAATTAATAAAAAGGTTAATTTGTAACTTTATGTAACTTTATAAATATAGGCAGATATAAATTAATTTATTTAAAAAAAGAAATAAACTCTACATATAATAACAATTGTTTGACTTTTAATAGAAAAAATTAAAGTGTATTAAATACCTTTCATTAATATTAAAAATGGAATTATAGATGATGCAGATGACATTTCGATCGTCAGATGACTTATCGTCGTGCTACAATGAACTTCCGTCAGTCCCTTTTCATTGGTCAATTAACCGAAGACAAAAAAAATTTAAAAGTGGCGAGATTCTTTTTTCAACTTTTTCAAAAAAACTCATCGTTTGGCTATATTTCAAAACATACTTAATCGTTCTGATATGGAATCCGTGAACGAACAAACAATCAATTCAAATATGGACATAGAAGAAGAAGAAATCTTAGACTTTGAAGAGGCAATCGATTTTAACTTCTCTGATAACCCGGACGCTCTCAACACAGAGTTATTAGATGAGAGCATGCTCGACCTCGATGGTACCATGGACTTTAACATCGACGAGCCTCTTGAAAAACGTAAGTTTAAAATTTAAATACCTTAAAACAATTATATTATATAAAATACTTTAAGATGATGATTACCAACCATCCAACACACTTGATTTGAATAAGGGGCTTCGACGTCAACGGAGAATGAGAAAAATATCCAACAAGACACGAATAATAACATTAGTAATAATAATAATAATACTGAAGTGGATAAAACTGCTATAACACCTCCGCCAGAGGATGATCCAGATGAGCTCAAACTAGGGCTCGACGATGAATTTGACCCCGATTTCTTTAAGGAGTTCGGTAGTGGCGACATTAACGAAAATGATGGGAACTTGGCAGATGATGAATTCTGGAAAGAGTTTGGGTTGGATTCGACCCAAGACATTGATATTTTAGATAATGATAAATCTGATACCAACAACACTGAAAAAGTTGAAAAGTCTGAAACTGACGATATCGAAGTTAAGTCTTCTCAAAAAGACGACATCAAAAAACACGGTGAAGTGACTGTTCCTAAGGAAGAAGAATCTAAAGAAACTAAAAAATCAGATTCCCTAAGTGTCAGTAAATCAATTCCAAGTACAAAATCACCGGAAAAAGAAGATGGAGAAATTCCTACTGCTACTACGACCTCAGATAATCGTCAACAACAACAGAAAAAACAGCCAACACAATCACAGCCACAAAGCGGTCCGGTGCAGAAGTCTACGCAGCAGCAACGTTCCTCTAATCAGCGTCAGACATCACAACAACAATCAAACCACACACAACAATCTAACCAAAATTTCAGGAGAAGTGGTATACGAAGAAATAATGATTGGCGTCCGGGAAATACCGGTGGAGAATTTTTCAATGGCACATTTCGAACTGGTTTTGGTCCAGGAATGGAAGGAATGCCTGGGTAATTATATATATAAATAAATATATATATATATATATATTTATTTAATAAATATTGAAACATTCATTTAATATAGGTATTAATAGTAATTTTATTCATGTACTCTTTATTTAGCATGCCCATGGGGCAGATTCCGATGGGAAATCCTATGATACCAAATTTGCCCGGTATAATTTCGTTTTTTTCATGATATTTTATAATTTCTTTTCAATAATTTATTTTGTAATAATTAATCAAAATTTTTGAATTTTTAATACATAAGGTCCTATAATTGGACCAAATATCCACGTTAATCCAAACTTTGCAAGATTACGACCACACGCATTTTCATTTACTAATCCAGTGACACAATTTCAGCCTATTGGTTCTGGTGGTCCTCATATGAATATGATGCCTTATCAAAACCAAATGGATATTCCACCTTTTCATCCACCAATGGGACCAATGGTGGGAGGACGAAGTGGAAACAATAATTCATTTTCTAGGGGTGGTTCAACATTTAATCATCATGCTATGTCTTCACGAAGGCAAGCAAACCAACAACAAAGTAACAATAATAATAATAATCAAAATCAAAGAACAATTCCAAGTTCTTCACTTTCAAAACGTAAAACACCAGCTGATGGTTTTGAACAAAAAGAACCAGCTAATAAGAGAAATGCTACCAATGGCAAATCTGTAGTTCAGGATAATAAGGATAATAATAAATCTAATGCATCTAATACAGTGGATCGTACCAATAAAACTGCAAATACTGCTTCCGAGAAAACTTTAAAATCAGGAATTCCTACGCTTGCAACTAATAAAGAAACATCATTAAGTTCCATTAAGACTAAGTCCAATTCTAACCTCGCGGCTTCTGGATCAGCTTCTAATTCCAAACCAACTTCTGCCAAATCGGTACTCAAACAAGTTCAAAGGACCGTCAAAAATAATCCGATTAAATCTCAAACAATGTTCAATTCTTCTTCAAACGTTAAATCTGTTGCAAAATCTTCTCAAACTACCACATCAAAACAAACATTATCATCATCATCGTCACCTTCATCATCATCCAAACCTGTCACGTCATCTAAGCCCTCTACATCATCATCATCATTAAAACCCACATTATCCAAATCCGCGACCCAAATTACATCAAATGCAAAATCCGTCAATGCAAAATCTGCTACAAACAATACTAATATTGCAAACAACACCATCAATACTGCCAATTCTGGAGGAAAAGTTGCTGCCGCCTCGAATAAATTAAAAATCTCTAATGTTGGAGATAGCGTTACGAAGCGTGAACTTCAAAGTTTAGCCAGTGCAGTTCCTGGAGGATTTTCGGTGAGTTGATGAATCTATTTTTATATATAACTATATAAATAAATAAATAAATAAATAAATAAATAAATAAATAAGCAAGTATATATATATATAACATTAATATTAATTTTTAATTTTAAATCCTTTTATTTAGTTGATCACACTTGAACGAGTCGACAACTCAGCAGAGATTACTTTCAAGACGCTCGATGGTGCTAGGATATTCAGAAGAAAGCATAATAGGTCAATATTTTTTATGAATAATTTATAAATAAATAATTTATAAATAATTTTCGAACCAATTTATACATTATATATTAAACACTTTCTTAATACATTCTTATACATTCTTATACTACAGGAGTCAACTTGGAGGATCAAATGTCGTCATCAACTTTTCTTAAACTATGTTGATCTATTACGATCAATATTGATTATTACGACCGTTGTTGACTATTACGACCAATATTGACAATTATGACCAATATTGATTCACGTTGACCTATATTTACCAACATTGACTTCTATCGTCCCATATCGACTTACATCGACCTATGTTGAACTTACATTGACCTACATATTTGTTCAGAGGAACATTTATTAGTGATTTACAAGTTTAATTCGGTGGAGAACGGTTTAGACCTACGAGAATTTTTCTTTTTTTTTTTTCTTTTTCTTTTTTTTTTTTTTTTTAGGTGCGTCGGAACAAGAATTCTTTCTCAATCAAAATGAGGGTTTTTTAATATTAATAACTTTCTTAATTAACGTTCTTTCATATTCTTTGAGTTTTCTTCATATCATCTAAATAAAATCATTTAAATTTTCTTTTTTTTTCCAAAATCAATCAATTTTCTTTTTTTTTTTCATTTTCGTCAGGTTTCTTCAAATCAATCAATCAAATTTTCTTTCTACATTTTCTTCTGTTTCGTCAAATCACTCATTATCATTATCTTCATTATTTTTATATATATTTTTTTTCTTACAAATTATTATAAGGTTTAGTAAGAAATCTTAATTAAAGTTGGACTTTTATATATATATATTAATATTAATATCTCACTTCTGATTTATTATTTATTTTTTCTGGTTTTTTTTTTTGGGTTGAAAAATTGTCAATCTATAGACAACGATGAACATTATTTTAATGAAATAATGAAATTTCATGTCATTAATATGATTTCATCCGACAACAGAAAAATTTAAAACAAAAAAAAAAAAAGGAATTTATATTAAAAATTTTACGATTCACCAAGATTTCACCAAGATTTTCATCAAAGATTCCTCATCAATCATCAAAGATTTTTTTTCAAGATTTTTTTCATCAAGATTTTTGTGAGTATCCTAGAGACTCGCAATCAAGCAATCAAGCAATCAAGCAAAACAAGCAAAACAAGTACACATTTTAGTTGGTATGCACAATTGTAAATAGAGCATAATAATTTGCATAATTAATTTATTTATTTATTTATTTAATATAATGAAAATATTTTACCAAAAGTATCTATATATATATATATATAGATATATATATATATATTAAATTAATTTTATATAATAATTAATCAATCAATCGAACGCGTATAATAATATTTCTTTTGTAATTTAATGTACATTATTATTATGTATATACTACTGTATATATACTGTATATATAATTGACAATTATAATTCAACAAATATAATTAATTTAATAATTCTTTAATAATTCAAATGTTTTTTTTTTTTTTTATTTCAAAAAATTCTCATCATCATATTCTTTTTAGAATTATCCGTTAAATTATTGAACAAAAAAAAAAAATAGGGTGAAAATATTGAAAATACTGAAATATAAATAAAATACTGAAATATATATAGACTGAAACATGAAAAATAAATAAAAAATATTGAAGTTTAAATATAAAATTTACTGCATAATATTGTTATATTATTGCATAACACTTTTTTTTTTAGAGAATAAAAAAATATTTCTATTACAACTTGTGACTAATTTTAAGTATGTGCAATAAATAAATATTGTTAATAATAAAGATATTAATATAATGTGAAAACCCCTTTAAAAATAATAATAATAATGAATATAATGAATATAATGAAAACAATGAAAAACAATGAAAATAATTAAAAAAAAAAAAAAAATAATTAAAGATGCAAGCATTCTTTATTACCCCTTCAAAATATTTATGATATATTTTCTCTTTTTATATTTCTTTTAAATGCGACGTATTAGCAGTTACATCAATTAGCCATTTTCCGTATGGACTACTATGATCTATTTCATTCTTTCTATTAGCTTTAATTTTTATTTCTTCATCTGTATTATTAATTTTAATTTCGGGAATTTTTGATTCTTCAGGTGATCCTTTTTGTGCCCACCTAGCACGAGATACTGCACAAAATCCGGCTTCCATCCAAGTACTAGCTTTTGAACATGCTTCTTGAATAACATTAAAACACCACCCATGTGTTACGAAGATCAAAACCACATCTTTAGTTTTATCCCCTTGAAGATCTTCGATGAAAGGTGTAGTTAATTGTTTTAATGCCAAACCACAACGATTCATTACTTCATAAATTCCTTCAGGATATTCCGGTAATTCCGCGAAAACTGGTTTATATCCCCAATCCACTTCAAAGAAAGATTGTTGTTGTGCGTCTTGATTTAAACGATGTAATTCTTCTACACGAGAAGTGATAATACTATTTGGTACCGCATTTGCGTAATAGGCAGCAGTATGCCATTCCGAAAGTGCGGGTTCAAGTTTAATTTGAATTGATTTAGCCGGTAAATCTTTATCAGAAGAATTAATTCCTTCCGCAATACCAATAGCAGTTTCAACCGTTCTCAAGAAGGGACTAGTATAAATAAGATATTCTACTTTTCTTTGACGTTGAACATCTTTGACAATTGTTTCTAGATGTATATTGTGAATATAAGAACCCGTTTTTTTGGCCTGTTTTTTACCTCTAGGTGTTAACGGTGGATCATAAGGAGTTGTAGAAGTGTAAGCAAAACTTGGTTCTACGTGATCCATACGTTCACCATGACGAGTGATGTAGAGAGTGATCGACATATTTTTCGTAGTATTCGGTAGTATTATTAAATATTATTTAAATAATAATTTTAAAATTTTCGAGTAAAGGAGTAAATAAGCGTAATGAATGAAATGAAACAAAAAAAAACGTTTAAATAACTGATGAATGAATGATAATCGGGGATCGAAATTGTGCAACCATTTTTTTTAGTTCAATAGAATAAATAGAATAAATAGAATTAATAGAATTCTATTTCCATATATAGAACATTATGCAAACATTTATTTTATTTTTTTAGCATTATATGGAATAGTATGGAATAGCATGGAATAGTACGGAATAGTACGGAATATACCGAATTTAATCCAATAAAAGAAAATTCATTTTATGAACGTGAAATATCTAAAAGTGTAGAGCATCAATTAAATTATATATTATTTACTTTTTATTTATAAATAATTCAAAAGACTTGTAAAGTATTTTATAAAGCATGTTGTTTGTTGGAAATATTATGTTGTGAAGTATATTGTTTATATATTATATTTAATAAAATTTCAATAAATTTCAAATTTTTTAAATTCTACCACCTGTTACTAATTTAGCTGCAACTGCAGCCAATATGGCCGCTTTGTGATTATTAGGAAGTTTCGAATAAGCTTCATAAACTGATACACCTAATAATAAAAATTAATAATAATAATAATAATTATTATTATTATTATTATTATTATTATTATTCATTAATCATTTATTTAATTTTTTCATTAATTATTATCATTATTTACCTTTTGCGTCTCTAACAGCACCTAATTTATTTCCAGCATAAGCTCCCAATACCATTCCAGGTACATTTCCACAAATAAATCCTAATACTCCACCAGAAATTGCACCAAATGGAGCATAAAACCAACTTGGATTTTCAATTTCGGGTCTTAATAATTCCTCAAATTCACTACCAAATAATTGATTAGGATCTGTTTGATTTAATTGCCATGATGGACCTGATTGTCGTCGTCTTCTTTTAGCATTGTCTAAAAGAAAAAAAAAAAATTTTTTTTTTTTTTTAATTTTTATCTTTAATTATTATTTTTTTTTTCTTTTAATTGAGTTAATAAATCATTATAAAAAAATACCATATTGTTGCCTTCTTGTCGGATCACTAAGTACATAATATGCGTCAGCTACTTTTTGAAATTGAATCTTGGCTTCTTCTTGAGTAATTGAAGGATTTATTGCTGAATCTTGAGTACCAGGTACATATCTATCTGGATGAAATTCTAACGCTTTCTTTTTGTATGCTTCTCGAATTTCCCTAAAATTTTATTATTATTATTATTATTATTATTATTACAATTATATCTTAGTTTATCAATTAAAATTGATCAGTTATTTTTTATTTCATGTAAGAATTTACAACTAAAACAATTAAAGAAAACTTATTTACTCTTCTGTAGCTTTTGTGGAAACTCCAAGAATTTCATAATAGTCAGGGAACGTTGACATTTTTGAAAAGGGTAATACACAACAGTAATAATAAAGCGTGAAAAAAAAACTTTAAATGTTGAAATTTTGAGAAATAAAGGAATAAATGAAATTTTAAATTTTTTTATAGTATATTTAATATAAAACAAATAAAGGTTTTTATGCATAATGTGACTTTTTTGCACTACAATAAACGTAAATCGGTATCTAAAAATAGATTCATTATATATTTATACATATATGATTTTGGTAATTGGACAAGTGGAAATGACGTAGCCTATTCAAAGATATTCGACTAAATGTAGATTGTTTGTGGAAAAAAAGGATGGATACCTTTATGATAGATTTCAAGATATTTAGAGAGATAGCAAAAGCAACTGTATATAACAATAAGTGGATTGATGGAGTAATCTTTAGAATGGGATATTGAAAATCAACAATGGAAAAGATGTGGTCAACTTGATATTGTATTAAAAGTTTGATAATATTTTACAAGTTTAATATACTCTACTAATTATAAAACAATAGACCCAATTATTATATCTATATACAGTCTGACAAATATTTTTTCCGTAGCTCCGCAGTAACTGCGCAAAAACACATGATAAAATATTCATTCTCAAGCTAAGCAAGAGATTTTATTAAAAAAATTTAATAAGGGTGTATCAAATGTCGATAATCTTATTACATTGACATTTGATTTAGTTCCTACATTTGGCATTTAAAAGCAATTACGTGATACTGACCTACTTTCTTCGGGGCTATATCACACTTGCATTTTATTTAGGTGGTAATTCACTTAAAAGTAATAGTCCTTTTTATAAAATTAATTGAAGAGAAAACTTCATCCTGGAAATATTTTTATTTTTCATCATTATTATTATATATCACATGATAAAGATTTAGCTAGACAAATATGTAAATGGATTACGACTAAAGAAATTCCAAATTAATTATAAGAGATGAGTGAAGAATTGTGGAAATATTATCTTGATTATAGGGAAGATAATTTTAAAAATAAAATGAAAATTTGAAAATACATCCAGGCATCCAGAAGCAATTTATAACACTAGATTTCAATTATTCAAGTCTTTCGAAACTCAAGAATGAAGAAAATTTGAAAAAAAAAACTTGAAGAATCAACAAAAATCTATCTCCTCCTTCATTCTATTTTATGTATTTATTAATTTTATTTCATATTTAGTTGAATTTAGTATATTTATTATTATTTTCTTATGAATTTAATTAGTTTTTACATGAGATTTAGAAAAGCATGATGTATTTAATATAAATTCATAAAATTACATATAAAAATACACCATAATATACAAAAAAAAAGGCAGACATATATATATGTGTGTACTATTTAAAGCAATGTCCATAAACTTTAAAAATCTAACTTTAAACAAAAAAAAAAAAAAAAGCCGAGAATGAAATCAAAAATACTAAAAATAATCGAGAAATCTTTTTCAATAAATGTTCAAAAAGTATATCGAAAAGTTCTATAATTCTAATTCTATTAACTCTATATGATTTACTAAGAAAAATTTTAGAAATTATTTATTAGCAAAAAAATAATAATAAATAAAAATAATATTAATAAAATAAAATTTAGTAACTTACTATTTTTTTTTTTTCACTTAACCTTCAATCATTTCAATCACTTTAATAATTTCTCACATATTTCCCCCCCCATTTACATAATATTTAAATTTCTTCAATAATTTCACTTATTGATTAATAATAACCAATAAATCATTATTGCGATCATTACGATCACCACAATCATAATAATTCCACGTGGATTATTATAAAACAATGATTGATTTTGGGATTCCTCAATTCTCTTTGATAAAGGTATTGATAAGATTTCATCAACCATATTATAACTTAAAGGTTTATCGGTGATCCATTTATTCCTATATAAATGTGTGCATGATCTACGAATAAATTTAAAAAATAAAAATGAAAAATGAAAATAAAAAGAAAAATAAATCAATAAATAAAAATATATAATTCAAATAATCATATATTAAAAATTATTCACATTTCAAGAAACCGAGTATTTGATTTTTTCAGTAATGAATGTGGTGGAAAATTCTGAAACAATTGTACGGTTTTAAATATAATATCATCGAAATTAGCATCTTGAGGAATTTTGGATATGAAAGAATGAATAGTAGAAAATTCACATTCTTGCATCAAAATTTCCTTTCTTCTACTCAATACAATCTAATTAAAATTATTAAAATTAAAAAATTTAAATTAATTTTAAAGTTAATTTAAAGTTAATTTAAAGTTAATTTAAAATTATTTAATTTATTTACCATTGCAGAAAAATAAATTGGCATCAATGGATCCGATGCTATGAAAAGATCAAAAAGACGAACTACTGTGGGAAAATCGTGAATATCGTGACTACACCAAGTGATTACCCAACTAATACAAAAATGTGACATTACACTTGATCTAAAATTTATTAAAATTGTTAAATAATAATAATAAATAAATAAAAATCAAATAAAAACGAAAGATCACTTACTGCTTAATAAAATCAGCCAATTCGACATCTTCAAAACGAATAATATCAAAAACAAGGGGTAATTGACTTAAAACAAGATCAAGTGATGATAACATCCCATCTGTATAATTTGAATGAAGTCAAGGAAGAATTTATAAACATATAAACATATATATATCTCTCTTTTTATCCAAGTAAAGGATATCTTAAGAAAAACATTGCAATATTTTCTCCTATTCTTATTGTTTGTTCCTTTTCTTTCAATACAAGTAATAATGTCGCACATACATCATGAAATCCCTATTTTAATAAATTAAATTTAATATTATAGATTTTTAATAAATTAAATTAAATTAAATTAAATTTACAGATTTTTTATTAATTATTAAATAACAATAATAATAACGACGTACACAACACAACACAAAGAACAAGAACAAAATCAATTACTTGATAATATGAAAGTTTAGGGTTTCTACGCAAAATTCCAATAATAACATCCTTAAGTTCTTCTTTTTTCTTTTTGAGTTGGGATTTCTTCAATTCTATTTAAATTATAAATTATAAAATTTAAAATTATAATATCTAAAAATAAATTATAATATTTAAAAATAATTGATACCTTTAGGATAATTAACGAATGATCGTTCAACATCAAGCAAAACTTGATCTTCATCCTTATGATTTTCTTCAATTCTATTTTCACGGCTTATCTTTCCAACTTTTAATAATTTGGCCCTAAATATTATATATATATATATATATATATATATATTTGATGTATAAGGATTATATATTACTGCATATTATATGTTTATATTATTTATATTGTATATGTATTGTATAATAAGTACCAACAACTACTCCGTAATGAATTGGAAAGAAAACCCTCGGAACAAGCTAAGTTTCGAAGGGCTTTTAAGTCATTTTCTTCGCAAGCTTTATTTATCGTTTTTTTGGTGCTTTTTTCTGTTTTTGTTACTTCCTTTTTAAAAATTGTTTTTTTTTTCCTTTGACGAAGTTGTTTGTGTTTTTTAGCCATGCTAAATATTGTTGAGAATATATTGTTTTTAGGAATATTGTTAAGAAATAAATAAATCTTTTTTGTTAGATCAAAAAGCGTTGCGTAAGTAAAGTTGAAAAATCAAAGTGACCCAAATTAGGATAATAGATGAAGATGAAACATAAAAAAATGACCAATCAATTACTTTCTTCTATGAGATAGAAAATATGCAAACAGTTGTGCTCGCAGAATTCGTTCTTCAAATTGTAGTCGCCGCTTCTTTCACTATCGCGGTCCATTACCGCTGTCTGTTGTTTGTCGGTACCAAAAAAATTTTAAAAAAAATAAAAAAATAAAAAAAAATTTTTTCATTGAATATATTCACTCTTTCCGTAACGACCTTTTTTTATTTTTTATTTTATTTTGAGGATTTTTGTTCGTGTCTATGAAAGAACCTTTTGTTGCTATTGAAATAATCCCTACTACACCTGTTCTCATTTTGCATAGTGGTAATGTTACGACGACAACTAAGCACCGAGTAACAGGTGTACTAAGAATAGAACTTTCCAAATCGATAAAAGTAAAGTCGATATCAATAACTTTTAGTGGAAAATGTGTTATAAGTTTTAGTCATGAGACGGCAGCTCAAAAGATGAGATTAACGAAAAAGATGGAAAAAAAAACCAGAGATAAAAAATCAGGAGATCCACCTCGAATTCGAAGTAGTATGATCATTTTAAATCAAACAATTTCTTTACTTGAAGATAATAATAAAAAATGGGAACTTATAAAAGGTGTTAATGAATTTCCATTTTCCTTTGATTTGCCGACTGATGTACCACCTTCAATTACGGATTATTTAAATGGTTATATTAGATATAAGTTGTCAGCTATGATTTTACCAGCTTCATTATTGGGAAAATTATCACAAGAAAAAGTTGATTATATTCTTAAAATAATTCGACCACGATTAATGATTAATGGATTAAAAAGATATACTGGAATGATTGAAGAAAAGAGGATCAAATATGAATTAGAAGTACCAAAAATGATTATATTACCAATGGATGATATGGATGCAAAAGAAATCACTATTAATGCGAGGTTAATAGTAATGAGAGAAATTGCAAGAATCAAAACTGTTAGTTTAGAAATATCGCAAATTTCAAAATATCTATTATCAACTTCATCTAATAAAGTTATAGAAAAAACCTTTATAACTTATACCAAACCAGCATCCTTAATTGACTTTACTACCGCTCTTCCCTCAATCACACAAGATCATCATTTGACTTTAACACTTCCTTATGTATTGGTCTCTGAACTTTCTCCCGATATTTCCTCACATAACCTTGAAATTACTCATAATTTTCGAATCACTATAACTTTTATGAATAATAGTTTAAGTCCTTGTTTCTTAAATCCGGCAGTTACAGTGGGTTATGTATCTACCAATAAACGATTGGCTAGAAGTGTTAGTATTAACGAAAGTCCTACTCAAGAGATCTTAAATGATTTTTATTATCGTCGAGGATCGGAAGGATGGGTATTCCCAAATAATAATAATAATAATAATAATAATAATAATTATAATAATAATAATATGAGTAGTATTAGTAATAACTGTTATTATTCTTCTTCATTACCATCATTATCACCATTATTACATTCTTCTTCTTCCTCATCTTATCATGATAATTTTGGAGATCTTGTATCTCGTGTCTCTAGTTTCTCTAGTTTCGCTTCTCTAAACACTAGTGGACTGACTTCTGTATTTGAAGAAAATGAAGATTATACAGCAATTGAACCATAATGAATCATATAATAATACCCACATAATAATAATATTCACATAATATCCATTTGATTCTTGTCATATGATTATTATTCTCTCTTATTTCTTACATTCATTGAGATTTATAATTTATTGTTCAGAATTCTAGTTTTATATATTATGTAAAAATTTTTAATTTCATTATTATTTTATTTTGTTTAATTTTCAATTTAATTTATTATTTATATTCTATTTTTATTTATTTTTTTTTAGTTATATAAAATTCGGATACAGTATAATATATATATTTTCTCAATTATTAGACTCGCTCTGGACAAGCGAAAGTTATTCTTAAAAGCATCATCTTTTTTTTTATCATTATTCCTCATTTGTCATTGAAACTATATAAAAATTTATAAAATATAGAGATAGATATATACATACGCATATACATATATACATATATACATATATACATATATACATACAGTATATACATATATATATATATGTTCTCTTTAAAAATTTCCCACTTTTTTCTCTGCTATACAAATAATTTAATAGCATATACGTATTTCGAGAATAAAAAAAAAATAACATTTAAATAAATTTTTATTCTGAAAAATTTCCTTTTCAGGTTGGTTCGTATTTTTATATATATCTATAAGTCACAGCAGGTGACTTGGAATAACTAGTAACTGTAATGTGATCTACCCAAAAAAATATTTTGTCCTAAAAACAATTATGGCTGGTAAAGATAAGTATATTATTTCAAAAACGAACAAACATTCAGTTGAGTAATTGGCAGTTAATCTTAAGTCACGAAGACGGGTTAGGTATCAACTTCTACAAACATACATTTGCGTCTTGCGACGGACGACATTTCAATCTAATCATAGCATATAGACGATTTTGGTATGAATTTTATTATGAAAGTGATATTGAGGTATGAAGATTGTTTTTTTTTAAATACGGTATGGATCAGATCAATTTTTTAATTTTTTATACGAATGTGCTTTCCACAATTACGTTACTGATTTCAATAATCGAGTTTTCACTTAAAAAATAAATAATAATAATAATAATAATAAATCGATAAGTATTATAATTCTGTGAATGAATTATGTTGGTTTGATATAATTGTATTATTTATTATTTCTGGGTTTGATATAATTAAGTATTATTTGTTATTTTCTGAGGAATTTCAATAAGATCTGAAAAGTTGATTAATTAATTATTAGTGAATAAATATTGCTTTTATATTTACAGAAGTATTTTCAAAAATCTTCTTGATGAAATTATTAAATATAATAAATCATGTGAATTCAGTTTATCATAATTTGTATTAAATTCAGTAACATCAAATATATATTTTTTAAAATTTTATACTGATGATAATATTAAAATATTTAATCTAAATATAATTTATGTTGGAATGTCCTTTATTTATTTATTAAGTCTTTTGTAAAACTAATTAAATTTAGGGTCCTCTTAAATCTTGTGCGGAATTTGCGGAACTTACACAATTTAGAATTCTATGTAAAAATTTGTGCGGAGTTTTTTACTTGCTTTCATGTGATTATAAAATGATAATCAGGTGATGGCAGATGACAAATAAGCAAAAAGATAACGCAGATCTCTCAAAAACGATACCTTTGCGATAAATAATGTTCAAAAAATATCCAGACGGCGTGATGCTATGTGACAATTATAGGGTGAGGAATAACTTTTCTCTTAACTTTATTATTGTAAAATTTTTTGCTGAAATATGAATAGATAATATGCCATCAAAACTATTAAATTTAGTCAGATGCAATTAAAATTATAAAAAATTGGAATTGAAAAATTGACGACACAATTATTTGATGCAATTACATAGACAATTAAAATTTCAGGAATCGAGTCAAAGACTTTTTACTTTTGATGACATGTATAGAATAGATCAACAATGAAATTTTCAACATCAAGATTTGCATTTGGAATGTATTCAGGTAAAGGAGGATCCAAAATATTTCACTTATAGGAATTGTATTTAGAAATCGTGAAGGTTTGATGCATTGCATGGTGCCCAATAGGCTCTCTTTCATTTTTTTCAGCATTTCCAAAATCCCACTATTATTAAAAATAAATTCATTTTAATTTCAGAAAAAATAGAAACCAATTAATTTAGATCAATGCTACCTCCTGAGGTAATTCTATAATATCATTAAATAGTAAAATAATTAACAAGACATTCTATCGTTGATTTTTGAAAATCTCCATTTGTGTCCTGAGTGTCTCTTTGTTCATAAATTTTAATGCCAAATGCATATCGAACATATTTTTCTTGTAATCAAAGTAAACAGTTTTGTGACATAGAATCAATATCTTGACTAATAGCTATCTCTCAAATTATCCGAGAACGAGAAGATCCCTATATAAACTATGTTATATAATAAAAATAACAGATATGATAATATTCACTATTACTGGGAGTTTCATTTCCATAAATAGGATGTTTGGAACATAGGCTGTATTTAGAATTATAGCAATTAAAGTTCCATTTCTATTAGGACTATGAAAAAATATAAAAACATTGAAAAATTAATAGTGAACACATGATCGCCCAGTAACTCTTATTGGTGGGTTCAATATATTGCTGTCATTAGGAACTTTTGAAGAAATCTTGACAACACTATTTCATGTGCATATCAAATATATACACATTGCCATTATCAAACTGGAACTTGTATCCACACGATTCACAATTGTAAAGAAAGGTATTCTTTCCAATCTGAATAGGTAAACTGCAATCTATATGAGTCAACATTCAAGAATCTTAAATAATATGAATATATACTAACTGATTTATATAGGATGATTTTTAGATAATTTTGGATAATTATGAGTTAACTCATTAATTTGATCTAAAATCCCTGATCACTTAAAGTACGTGCACGAGACATTTTAAAATTTTTAAAAAGAAAAAGAAACACTATCAGCTTGATAATCAATAATACGGTTGGAAAAATTGCTTCGTTTTAATTAAGATTTCCTGTGGGGATACGTTACCACTTGCATTCAATAATTTTGCAAACATTTAAGTCGCAAATATTCCTAGCCATACTCAGATTTTGAAAGAAAAAAATTAGCTCAGCTGAAAACAACGAATTATTTTGACTAACAAAATCATCTAAATTTTGTTACAAATTTGTATAATACAATAATTACTTTATAGAAAATAAAGAATTCATTGATTATATTAATAAATAATCTAATATTATTTCCCAATTATAATTATAACCATAAAAATTATTTAAACAATTACAAAATAATGTTATAATAATAAACCATTTCAAGTCTCTAGCTATTGTTGTAATTTGATATTGAGATATTAGTGGAGGAATGACTCCCTTCTTCGGAGTACTCTCAAAAGCTTTAGTTTTTAAGGTTCTTCATATTGTGATAATAATGGAATTATAAATATAAAATAATATTTGTTTTGTAATTCTCAAAGGTATTGTTCATAATCCAAAGTAGGCACTCTCGTGTCAAATCATTAACATCTTTTTACAAATTATTTCGGCATGAGAACTTCTATATAAATATAAATCTATCACACCTGTCACTATTCTTTTTGACAATAACTTGAATATTTACAGTTCTAAATGTAATGTTCTTGTTTTTAAATCATAGAGACTTATATCAAATCTCAGAAATTACTACTATCATATTGAAGCTACACGTATTCGAAACGTGACTATTACAATGTTGAAAAATTCAAAATTTTAACTTGTAAAACTTCACGTGCAAATTTGTGCGGATGCTTTTTTTTCAAATTTTTGTGCAAGCGCACACTCTTCACGTTGAATTTTGAGAATTTCTTGTATCTAAATGTTATGTTATTTTTAATGAATCTATGAAACAATATAAGTACTTTTGAATTTTGTAACAAGTACCAATTTTGTTTGCTAATATGTTATTTTGTTTATATAATTTATTAAATAAAAACTAGCACTTTACATAAATGAATAAAATTAAAATATATCAAATTATATAACTAAAGTGAGGTAGGTATAAATTCATTAATTAGAATTTGATTTTTTTTTTTTTAAAAAAAAAAAAAGAAAAATCTTCAGTAACCATTTTGAAGGCTTAGCTCAAAAAAAAAAAAAAAAATAATGGCACAGATTTTTTTTATTTACTAATATTAGATAAACATTACATAATTCTTCTGATATTTAATCTAAAATTAGAATTTCGGTTATCACGTGATATAGACCATAGAAGAAGAATTAACAACGGAATAAATAATACGAATGAGAATCCAGGGGATTTTTTTTTATAACATAATTAACATAATTGTAAAAAGAATCGTGCATTATTGACTTATTCTTGGGAATACATAAATAAAAGGGCACTCACACAAATCTAGTATGTAGACAAGAAAATCATCATATTTGGAATTTGTCTATACACAAAGGATTTAAACAATCATTTATTTTATAGTCTATTGTTCTTAAGATTTAAGTTTATTTTTTTTAAGGTTGCATGGATTTTTGTGTACATCTTAATTTATTATTTTTTTTTGTATCAAAGTAATCTCGCGTTTGTTTTGTTGGAAGGCTGTGTATGAAAATTTTTTCTGTCAAAAAAAATTTTTTTTAAAAAAAAAACCCAACGATTTATATGATTACAATATTATTTTCTTGATTATTTAATTATCGTTTTGTGCACATGACCTTATGCTAATCAAAAAAGGAGACAAAGTAATATTAGAAAGATAATTAGAATTTAGAGGTTACAGTTTGCTTTTGGAAATTTGAAGGTTAGAGAAGAACTTGAGTAAACATGTTTCAACATTATTGAACTAGAACTTTATATTTAATTGTTGTATTTTTGTTTTTGGCGTGCGCAATGCGTACATACAGGTGAAATTCATTTATTCATTTTTTTTGGATTAGTGTCAATAAAGTAAGCCTCTTTAAAATAAAATTTTTTAATCCAAAATGCATAATAATATTCCTTAGTGACTTTTTTGGGATTTCACAATTGTGTTTTTTTTGATCTCTTGCTTATTTGTTTTATTTGTTTTGTTTTCTTCTGGCTAAGGCTCAGTATAATTCCCTTTAACTGTAATACTAATATGCACGAACATATACATATTTGGGAAAAACATCTCTTTTTTTGTTGGGGAAATATATACAATGACAAATAAATGACTAAATCGATCTGGGTTTCTATTAATTATTCTGTTTATTTCTGTTTATTCTGTTTATTCTGTACTACACTTTTCAAAACAAATTCATTTAGACGTTTTTTATGGAGATATTTTTTAGGGGGTTCCTTTTATTTTTTGACAAACAAAAGATCGAGAAACTATTATACAAAGTAATAATTAATTGATAATGAAAAGTTCTGGTATTCTTAGATTCAAAGACTCATATTAATCAATAACATCAATGACATTAATAACAATAGTAATAATTATCAACCATTTTGTTAAACCCGTCCTTTTTTTTCTCTTGAAATCTCATCCCCAAAACTCAATCCCGTTATTTTCCGACTTAATATCATAAAAAAAATACCGTTTTTAAAACAAGTAATCATTAAATTCTATAAATATTTTGGTAATATGACATAAAGGTACTACTGGTAATAAACAAATAACAGGAAAAATAAATTAGATTTTTTAAAAACTAATAATGAAATATTAAAATCGTGGCGCAATTCTTTATTATAATTCAGGAAGATAAACTTGTTCGGGATTTAGAATCCGAAAACTTGCGCGAACAACATGAATGGCCACGTGTATTATGTTTGTATAATGTAATTTTTGTAGAGCATCTAGATAACCAATTGTTATTTCTTTTGAAGAGTCGGCTTTTCTTATAATTTGGCAGTGCAAAAAAAAAATTTTCTTTCAAATATTCGTTAAATTTCAAAGGACACGGAACCAATTAAATCCCTGAAAATAATCATAATATATATGATTTTTTTTTGAGAAGAAATTGTGTTTCGAACTAGCCTCATTAAATAAACAAGAATTTTCCAGTACAATTAAATTTGTACGTCATACAAATTCTTTTTTATTCTTTTATATCATAAAAAAAATTCTTCGGATTCTATAGAAAACAAAACAATTCAACACAGAAACCCAGTATCTAAGGAAACACAGAAAAAACACATATATTAAATAGTTTATGTCAAAAATTTGTTTCAATGCAGGTAACATTAATGTAAATAACGAAAAATGTCTTCTTGAAATCTGAGAGAAACGCGCATTTAAAAATAATAAGATGACGCTAAACCATATAAAGTAGTATCTTTTTTTTTAATGGGATTCTAATAAATGTAATTTATTATTTGAACGGTGCGCAGCAAGCATTTATGTAATCAATTATTGTCGCAGAAAGGCGTAGCGTTGTAATCAATTTTGTATTCGTAAATAAGGTTGTATTGGTTACTGAATGAGGATGCCCATTCAAAGAAAAAAAAGTCTTATCAGTTTGTTTAGAGTCATCATCATTGGCGTTCCATTTTATCAATAAATAATAATAAATGTTTATAAACATTTTAAACATTTTTGTCAATAAACGTACGTAAACATTATTTTAAATTATTTATTATTTATACACAAAAAAAAAAATCATTTTAGCTTTAAAGCAGTTTTTTTGTTGTTATATATATATATCTTTCGATATATATATATTAATATATAATAAATGTCATTATATAATGTTTTATTTAATTTTCTATTAATACTTTTTTTTGAAATTTTTATTACATTTTTGGTAGTAAATAGCCGTGGGACAAATAATATTTTAAAGAACTAATAAATGTAATAAAGGACTACAATATATTTTAATGAGAACAAGGTATTATTACTAAATATATTTGGCTAAATACTTTCTTAAGTATGAATTAAAAAAAAATAATTAAACAAAAAAAAAAAAATAAAAAATTAATGCGCCCTAACAAATCATCAATGTTATTATTGTCGGGTGAGGTCGAAATTTGAAGAACATCAATCGCGTGGTGATGATGTTGAAAATGTGGTTAAAAAAAAAAAAAAATTGATAAAAAAACCACACCGAACTTTTTTTGTGTCGCGAAAAAATAAATAAAAATAGAAACCAAATAGAACAAGCGATGGTTTTCTCTATTATTTTTACCAACTAATATACATCTCTTCCAAGTTCTTCTAACAACGTCCTAACCAACTTGGAAATGTGTATATAATAAGAACCATCGCATTTTTACTAACTACATTATTATAAAAAGATCATTCCGTTCAAAGGTGTTATCAAACTATTTATAAAAAAACGTTGTGTTTGTGTGATTAAAAAAAATGTCGAAAAAGAAAAAAAGATGAGGAAATCGAAAAAAAATTTATTTGTAAATTTTAATTTTTCCTATACTGTCTTAACGAATTTTGCCATAAAAAAATAAATAAAACGATTTGTTTTGCCATGTTTCAGATTTTGCCAATTATGTAACCAGGTAACCAGGTAACCATCTTAAATATTCAGATTTTGCTTAGATTTTGCCTTAATTTTTGTAAAAAAAAATCAAAAGATTTTTTTTTACGCATAATAAATAAAAGAAACGAAGAAAATTTTCGTTAAAGGATTAACATAAATTCTTCTCTATGATGGAAGAAATCATAATTTGATTTCCTCAACTTCGTTTCTTTTTCGAGTAAAGAACTAAAAAGTGGATTGAATAAATAGTTTGTAGGTGTTTGTGTTTGTGTTTTGCCAATTACGAGAGTAAAGTTAGGAAACGATGTCGAGCCATCGTGGTAAGAGAGATATATATAAAGTTGGTAAAATGCGACTCTTCTATTATATAAATAGAAAATTGTGACGAATGTGTATAGTAAGATATAATTGTTGTCGAATAAACAATTGATATCCTTCAAATTTTGAAAATTTCGTGTTGTGTTTGTGCTTTTTCGATAATTGATGTTATGATGATTTGGGGGGTATTTTTTTTTCTTTTTGAAGATAGATATTAAAAATTTACAAGTTTGGTTATTATGTTCTAGGAATACATCTATAAAATATGATAATATATATAATATAATAAGATATATATATATATATAAATGTGTATATATATAAATGAGATGAGATAATTGTCCATGAAATAAAATAATAATTTTTTTTTTTTGGTTTTGGGGGGTATTAAACGGGTTAAAAAATAAATGCAAAAATAATGATATATAATTAACAGAAAATAATAGACTAATAATCGTAGTAAACACCAGAATCTTCCGGCTTATGAACTAAGATAGGTTCATCGTCTAAAGGAGTTGGAGGACGTGAAATTAATGTATATAAGTGTTGCCCCTCTTTAGTTACTCCAGTACGTTCAGCCAAAAGTACGATATCATTACACTCGAGTGTATAAAGATTTCGTACTGAATGACGTTTATTTGGATCTGACACTACTGTTAATGATCTTCGTAGTGAAGGTGATGGCATATTTTGTATATTTTGACATGCGGGACTCTCTCTAACAAATTGTCTATTATTTACTGCTAAACGGAAAGGACCAAGCCCATGAATTCTGGTTTCTAATTCACGAAGCCTTTCCATATTATCATGTGAACGTTTCTGTTCTTCAACGTCATTAAGAACTTGGTCAAGTTTGGTCTTTAAAGAGACAGTATTTTCGTAATCAAATCCATCTTTATCAGTACATTTTAATAAATTCATAATAAGAAGAGGATATTTGAGAAGACGTTGGAATGGTTTAAGAAGGTATGTAGACAATGGCATGTTTCTGCAAGAAGCTAATTTTTGTTGTGTTTTGACGAGACGGCCTAATTTATCCTTCTTTCTAATAGATTTCTCTAATTCTCTTAAAGCATCTTCATAGTGAATGAGATATGGAGCATAAGCACGGAATACCCATACATATGCAAGAAGAATATCGGAAATGCTTCTTACTAATGGAGATTGAGCTTCTTGACGTTCATTTAAGCACTATATATATATATTAAAAATAGATAAAAAAATAATTAATACATCTAATTACTAATTCAAAAGAATATATATACATTTAAAAGGGTTAAATTAAGAAAATAACTTACATTGCTAATAACTTCATGAATGAATAAAAAGTATGAAATAGAATTGAAAACCTTGTTAAGATTTTCTGGAACTATTTGTTTTTTGGATTTTTCTTCGGCTTTTTTAATTGGTTGAATGAAAAGTTCTTCAATCAAACGTAAGTCACGAACATATCTAAATGAAGAAAGTAGGGTTGGAAAAGGTTAGTGTAAAATTTAAGAAAAATTTGTGATAATAATAAAATTTTAGAATAAAAATAATAAAAATAAGAAACAATAATAATCCGAATAATATGAATAATAATAATAGGAAAATAGAAATGATATTTCAAAATTTCCGGAAAAATCCGGGAAAATCCGGAGAATATCATAATGTAACAAAATAAACAATCCCCAAAAAAGGGTTTAAAAATGGAAAGTAGGAAAAAAGTAGGAAAAAAGAAGGAAAAAGAAGAAAAAAAAAAAAAAAAAGGAAAAAGAATAAAATGGATTGTGAAAAACTTACTCATGCTCTGTTTTAATAATTTCAAAAAGAACTTCTTGTCGGTTAAGTTCTTTAGGAGATAAGTTGGCAACGAGGTCAACGTCAACAGTATCAGACCAAATGGTATTTCGTCTGTGACCACTATCAGTACGGTGAACAATAGTTTGCCTTCGTAAATTAATACTATTTTTCTTTTGAGAATTATTATTGTTATTATTATTATTTATTGGAACACTTTTTAAAGTTGATTCCTTTGCTGGAGCAGTTTTTGCTGTATTATTAAAAAATGGAATATGTAATTTCCCGGGTACTTTAAAAGACATTTTTGATGTTTTATGATGTGGTGTAGTTTGTTCAGTTGTTGTTGTTGGTGTTGTTAAAACTTGACTTTTTCGTTGTGCGCTATCGCGACGAATAATTGATCTAAACGACATTTTTATCAAATAAATTTGATAATAGTTTTTAAATGCTGAAAAAAATATTTATTCTTCCTTCAAGTCTTAATAAGAAATTATAATCGAAAGTTTTTTTAAAAAAATTGAAAGCTTTGATAGTTCAGTTCAAAAATGGAGTGTTTAAATAGCATTTTTTTTTTGTAACCCACATTGTAAATTAAAATATATTAAATATATATGGGTGAACCAATATTTTTTGATTTGAATATAATCTTATCGTCATAAAAAATTTTTTTAATTTATTTTAGTTTTTAGTTTAAAAAATCCTATAGTGCATTTTTTTTTTAAAACTATATAAATAAATAACAATTAAATTTAAATGTCAAGTGAATTGAGATATCAAATTATCAAATCGAATCATACATATAATAATAAGCTATACATTTTTAATGTAATGTACAGTTTATCTAAATATAAAACTTCATATTCGTCATCACGTTAATAATATTTGAATTGGCTTTTATGATGTGTCACCGTACTATGACCAATTAAAAAGTAAGAACATAATAAAAAATTATTGATTATATATGATTATATAATATAAACAATATACAATATTCACAATTATTTACATGTATCTAAATATATATTAGTATCTACATAAAAATAATAAGAGATTTTAGATTTAAATGTTAAATTCGGAGTGGAGTATTTTGTCCAAATAAAATTTCTGACACCTAACCACCGTCAAATATTCAAATTAAAAAGACTGTCAATATAAAATTTGGAAACAAAAAAAATCACTAATAACTAATTTATCATATATTTGACATTTCTTTAAATATAATTCAATAATAATAATGATAATAATAATGCAGATATTTGGCATATGCGCTTTTATTTATTATTATATAATTTTTTTTTTAGCTACAAATAAATTTAGTGACTTTTAGTAATTTTTTTAAGTTAATATAATAAAAGCTACGATTTTCAAAATATATTTAAAAAAGAAATATTTTCTGTTTTTCTATTCTCCATATTTTAATTTAGACTTTCGATTATTATCTACTATCTACTATGGAATATCGTGACGTGCCTCGTGATAATTGTGAATAATCATGAATGATTGTAATGATTGTTGTTAGATAGTTGTATGATAAATTTAAAGATATTATAGATAATTTTTATTAAATTTCATAATAATAATATTATTTTTTATAATTAAATAAGTAATAGATTTTCATTTTTCCTAATAATTCCTTAAATTTTATTATTCGTTCCGAGTAATCCTTAGAGATATAAAAGATTAGTAGTTAAAATAGTTCAAACAAATAAATAGATAAATTTGGCGGGTAAAAAAACATTCAAATATCCATTATCAAAAAAATTGCTTTTGATCATTTGACCAAAAATGTGTTAAAAAACGCATCAACAAATAAATAAATCAAATCACAATGCGACTTGTGACAAATTCAATTTTCCTAAAATAGTTATTATAAATGTGTGATTTATTTATTATTATTTATTATTATTTATTATTATTATTATTATTATTATTATTACTAGGTAAATACAACAACACGAAAAACGCCAAAGAAATTCTTTCAAGAATATTTTTTTTTGTCAGGAATTATGCAAAATAAAAAAACTTGATTTATTATTATTATTTATTTATTAATTTATTTATTTTTCTCTTTTTTTAAAAAAAAAATGAAACGTCAATTTAAATTGTCAACTTACATAATATTCTAAAATTTAATTTTTTATGCTTATTTTTTGTTCGCGCTAAATATCAAGTCTTGAAAAAGACCATTATTATTATTGAAAATTAAGGTTTAAAAAAGATATTAAGATAAACTTTATATGATTCTATGATTTCGAATATACTTTTAAGATACTGATACTATTCATCTATTAAACGAATTAAACGATTATTAATTTAGTAAATGCATTTGATTTAAAAATAAATCAACTTGTATGGAATACATTTAAAAAATGAAGTCTAAAAATAAGTCGAAAACCGGTTAAAAAAATTGCCGTTTAAAAATATCGAATACAAAATAAATAATAGAACGAATGATAAAGAAAATTTAATAAAACGAAAAAAAAAAACAAATTTTGATACAAAATAAAAATTTAATAACTTTGTGTTCAGTTTGTATGTATAATATTACGTTAATAATATTAGTTTTTTTTTTTTTTGTAAAAAACATCTTTTTAATTAAATTTTCATTGCATTCCATTACATCAATCTATAATTATCCTTTGGAAAAAAAGGATAAACATAATACACTTTTTAATACGTCCTGATGCAACATTATGCAATAACCGTGCACTTTTCCAAAAAAAAATATATAAAATATTATTTTCTCCACATTCTTTTAATACATTTAATAATGTTTTAATACCATCGTAATACTATATTTGAACATATTAAACATATCTAATTACCGTGGAATTTTTAAGCATTTAATAATTTTACTTGTTTTGGTTTCAGAAATTCCAATATAGTAAATAGGGTAAAAATTAATTTCCTATAATGAAATATAGATATAGGTATTTCGATATTTTAGTAAAAAAATGGTATTACAATTTTCTTTATCCAAATATTCGTTTTTTTTTTATTGGAATTTCTTTATTTACTATTCCCTTTTTTTTCTTTTCTTTGTAAGTCATTCCTAGTTTCCTGGTTCTGGGCCTGGTTATTTTGGTGATTCCTATTCTTTCTTTGTAAATTCCGTTATAAAAGGTTTCGTTATTCTGCACCTCTTAGAAACATGGTACACTTTACGATACCTTTATTACACTTTTATTACACTTTTATTACTTTTATTACACCTTATTACACTTATTGTATGTACCTTATTACACTTTAATTATAAATTTATTACACTTTATTTCGCGATCTACTCGGAGCATAAAGTAATACATAAAATGTAATGTCAAAACTCAACTCGCGCACACGTTGCATATATATGAAAAAAAGATATAAATAGATATTTTGTATGTAATAACAATGCATACCTAAATATCCTAATGACTAAAATAAAAACTACGTTTCTCTTTATTTGATTTTTTTTTATTATTTATTTTGACAATTTCTTTGTCCCTCCCTTCACCTCACTCCCCATTTCCATGATCTAAATAATAATAATAATAATAATCTGCAACATTTTCCAAACAATCGATGCGGTGCCAAGAAATTTTCGGTTATCGCTGAATCAAAATGAATTACTTTTTTCAAATTAGCAGCAGTTGATATTTCCTTTGTTTTATTGATCGAGAATAAGAATAATAATATTAAGAGTACGAGTTACAATTTTTGATATATACGCAAGATAAATAAATAGAGAACAATATTAAAAAAAAAAAATCAAAGAATCACTTTGTTTTATTGTTCTCTTTGCACGCATTATTTTGCATTTGAAAAACGCAGCTATTATTATTATTATCAAAAAAAAAACAAATAGAGATAAATGATGAGGTGTTAATACAAGAGTTTATTATGTTTATGGATAATGCGCGTGTAAAGGGAAAATAAATATAAAAATAGTATAATAGAATTTCCTTTTTGTTTCTAATAACAATGAAAACAAGATAAAAAATATCTATATAATTTGATTGGCCAAGAAATCGTTATAATAATGTAATGAAGAATTATGAAGAATCATGAAGAATAATGAAAGCACAAGAAGAATCCGAAACCAACGCAACCAACATTACGTACATGTATGCACTTTCGTAAATTTGACCCGATTATATTGTTGACTTTGCTAACGTTATTATTATTAACCATTGATTATCAATTAATCATTCATTAATCATTATTGCATTATTGTTATCATTATTTGGTTAATCGATTGTTATTATTAACTATTATTTTTAACATTATTTATTATTTTGCTATTAAAATTATTATTAACATTAACAAATAATCGAAAAACCAATAAATTATTGAACAAATAAAATAACCAATAACTATTAAATAACTGAATGAATTACAAATGGCTAAGTCACAAATAATCAAATAACAAATAATCAAATAATAAATAATCAAATAATAAATAAATAATTAAATAATCGAATAATCAAATAAATAATCAAAAATAATCGAATAATCAAATCAAATAATCAAATTATTTGAAAAACATGAGTTATTGAAATTATTATTGAGTGAAATTTCGTTGGTTTTCCATAAACCGTAATCAATAATAAATTTATTAATGTTTTAATAAATCCCAAAAACGTGTTAACAATAACGTTTAAAGTATTTTAACATTAATTCGGACTTGCGAAATTTCTGATAAAGGAAAATTTTTTTATTATTGTTTGACTTTATTGATTATTATTATTTTTTTACTTTATTTACTTTTTATTTACTTTATTTACTTTATTTAATTATTATTATTATTATTATTATTAAAAAGTTATATTTTCCTATTTTACATTATTTACTATTTACACATTATTATTATTTACGTAAGTTAATTGATTCAATTGTTTCTCTGAGTAAAAGGTTTTAAAACTTTCAAACAATTAAACAATTAATCAATCAAATGTAATGACTTACAGGAAGGGGAAGAGGAGGAAGAAACTAAATTCTCTTTCTCTTTGTTAAACGAATTTTAAAATAATAAAATATTATTAATAGTTAAAGAAGAATAATGATATTTTTTTCATTTTTGCATCCTTTGATACCCAAATAAGTATAAATTTTTTTCTCCCCAAATACCATTTTTCGACAGCTGCATTACTTAATTTCAATTGAATTTATCCATATTTTCATATCTTTCATCGTTCAAGGAGTAATTGTTATGTTACAGTAAGTATTTTTATTTACCAATAAATCTTATTTTGGAATTTCGTGATACCTCTTTAAAAAAAAAACACACGAAACTTTATCATGTCTTTTTGTTGTATTTTGAAAGTGTATTTTTTTTTTTGAACAATAGTTAATAAGTCAAAAAGTCAACAAATCAAAAATTTCCGGAATTAGAACATTATTGGAACATTATTAGTAGAGTATTGGTGGATTAATT